AGTCGGAGAACTCCGCGCCCATCTCGGAGTGAACTTGGCGGACTGATCACCCACCAACGACTCCCTGTCATCGACCTTCCCGACGTACCCCGTGCCCTGCATGCTCGTTGAATTGTTCATGGACATCTCACCTCGGTTTCTAGAGCCCTCGTTCAGTTTGCAACTGTAACTGAAGTTAACGTTCTGCCTACGCTGTATCCATCGACAGTGTAAGTAAAGTAATCTTAGTTTAACCAATACGCTTACATGCCTAATTCTGCTCCATCGCGAAAAAGTACCCACCTGCTGTTTCGGGCTACTGGCCACAGCCCGGCCTACCACTCGACCACCACAAGTTCAAAGGTCTCCCTATACAGCATCCGCTTCTCCCACTGTCAGAGAGGATACTGGGCTAGCTGGACCATTTGGTCTGACCCAGCATGGCATTTCTGTTCTTAATGGCATGTTACCAACAACAACCTCGAGGTGTAGGAAGGTATTTTCACTCAAGACACTGTCTGCTGTTTTCACAATCAAGGATCAGAGTTGTGCTCTGAGGCTTTCCCCACTTCCCCAGGGCTGCCAATTGTCACGATCGGATCCCAAATCTAACAAGATTTCACATTTTCCCCCTGAAAAACACAGCCTCTGATCACCTGAAAGTCTCCGCTTGCATGAAAAGAAACTGCCAGCTCTAATGGATGTAGAGGAGTCTGAAAACAAGGCCAAGTGAACCCTTAGGGCTCAGAGAAGGAAAAATAAAAGCAAAACACAAAGTCAATTGAAAAAAAAAAAAATCTCATTTTTAAGCTGATCTCATGACTTGTTAGGGCCTCACTTCATGATTTCCAAATAGCTGGGGGTAGCAAGGCTGCTTTCTGGAGTGACCAGGCTGTTTTCTGCGTGTCAAAACAGATAGCTGTGACCTCTCACTAGTGAAAAAACCCTCTACATTTCCATTCCTAGCCTACACAGCTCGCTTTCCACATGCTTCCAGTGCAAGCTATTCTGGATGTGCAGCTGGCAATTTTAATGACTTTATGGGGGTGGAAGTAAAGTGAAAAGCAATAAAGCTTCCACAGAAGGCTCTTTGACTGGCAAGTTAAACAAGATCTAGTATGCTTCGTTCCCAGGATTCGTGTGGCAAGACCTGCTAAAACAGTATATATGAACTGTGCCTGCTGATCACCGACTCTGGGAACAACGGCTTAAAATACTCCTCTCGCGTTCCTTCCAAACCTGCTTTTCTGCGATTCTATGGTTCATTTCTCTAAGGTGTGTTTAATCCATTAAAACTTTGAAGACAAATACATTTGCTTTCAGGGATCTGTATGCAGGGACAGGAGACCTGAACGATACCAGAAATTAAAATGTATGTCTTTGGTAATGAAGTTTATATTACAATGTACAAGGCACCATTGATTCTCATGGGGGGGGGTGGAAGGGAAGGGAATGAAAATAGGATGTGAACCTATGGATCTAAAAGCCAATGAGAAAACTATTCCCATTTCTATCATGGCCTCTATATGAGGACCTCTCCAACATTAATTTACTAAAGCCCGCCCCATCTGGGGGAGGTTTTTACCGACTTCCTTTTCATATGTTTATACACACACAAATATAAATATATATATATACACATAAATATAAATATATAGATTATATTTCTTTGGCCTTTGGTAAGTTGTTTAGCCTCAGTGTTTATTTTCTTGTGTGCACGCGTGCATGCTTTTATTTATATAATATAAATTATTATAGTACTGACTTCCTCTCTCATGTCAATATTATAATAACTTATATGATGATATAATGGCCATGATAGAGAGAGAGGAAGTCAGTACTATAATAATTTATATGATTATATAAATAGATGTATACATAAATAAATTTATATATAAATAAACAAAAGCACTGGGGTGTGAGCATGCGTGTGTGCATGCATGCATGTGTGCACACAGATAGGGAAGCAAACACCGTGGTTAAACAACTTACCAGAGAAATATAACCTGCATCTCCTTGGCTCCGTCTTCTGCCTAACCACCCGCATGATATAAAAGCTGGTCTTCCTCAACTGACAGCTAGCATGGCATTGCAGAACTGTAGAGAAGGGACTTCTAGAGGTCATCTAGTCCGCCCCCCCGCCTAAGGCAGGATTATTCCTACCAAACCCATCCTATACAAATCCATCATCTAACCTCTTAATAAAGTATCGCAAGGCAAAACACCCTAACCCGCCAACGTCCTGCTTCTGTGAAAGGTTGTTAATCTACATTCAAGAGGTCCCAAGTAGAGGCCACGTGCCTGCTACAGAGGAAGGCAACCTCAAGTATGTATGGATCTGATTGGGGGTAACACTCCTTCCTGACCCCAATGCAGAACAATGGAGATAACATGCAAATAAAGGCACATGTGCATGCACACAGAGCAAGTACAGTAAGAGAGAGAGGAAAGGATGCAATGTCTTATAAGCATCTAGTACGCTTCCATCTCTGCTTCCATCTTGAGATGTTAATGGATCTGGGATGGAGTGGGGAGAGGGAAGGAGATGTGGTGGGGATTATTTTTTCTTCTGAAAATACCTTGGTCAAGGCTACACAATTCACCAGGACTGTGGCCTTTTACAAAAAAAGCGACATCATATGAAGCAGGCAGCTGGCATGGATGCATGAATGTACAAAAAGCACGGGTGGCAATTCTAGCCAACGCATTACTTACTGTGCAAGCCACAGCCGACGTGAACTAGGGAGCAGACAGCAACATGGATTAGGGGTGTGTGTCTGCAAGGGGAAGGCAGATCCTTCTTGGCCGCTGGCCTGAGATCCAACCTCTTTTCAAGAGAAGCCCAGACCTGAGACCCTGGTGCAAAGCCAACTTGCACCCTAACTCTTCCTTGTCACCCTCAGTTACCCAGGGGGTGGGGTGGAGAAGAGCAGCTGAAGCAACCTTCTGGGGAGGACAAAGAAACCTGGTCCACTTAGTACTGGGCTCTCTTGGTTCAGTTCGACTTGAAAGGCAGTCAGAGCCTGCCATGATAGACACCAAGTCGGACACTAGTGCAACTAGATTGATGGTGGCAGTTATTTATTTAGCCCTTGTATTCAAATAAGGTGGTTCCTGCCTGAAGAGGGATGATAGAGCCAAGAGCTGTCAACAGAAGGATGCCTTACAATGGACCAGTGCATGGCTGCTCTTGTCTGAGATACCATGTCTCATTTTCAGTGCAGGGTTTTTTTGTTTTTTTAATGGATTAGTACCAGCAGAAGGTTTTTTTTTTCATTTTAAAAGACAAGCAGAAGTTGCGAGCCAAGGAGATGCTGAGGAGACAGAGTGGAGAAGGGCAGACGAGGCGAAAAGGGACAAAACAAGGGTCTAGCTCCTGCAGCCATATTCGGTAATGGTAAGCTTTTGCAACGCGAAGGCTTGTCTACACAGACGGGGGTTCTGTACTGGGCGAGCTCTCCCAGGGAAAACCTCAAGGGTAGATGGGCTGTGCTGGTATCAATTTGTGCTTTCACTGCTGCTCTTACCCGACTCGGAGCCAGAGCAAGCCCCATATCACACCTGTTCAGTGCAGGAGGACAACACACCCGCCCGTGAGTGGAACACGAATCAAAACAGAAGCGCAGATTAAAGATCAAAACAGGGACCCATATGAGAAGGCAAAGCTCAATGCACTGGTCTCCTGCAACTGTAAAGTCCAACAAAGAGATGACCCAACCCATCAAGATATTATACTTGCCTCTCTCGGAGTCTTAGCTGATCCTGAGCATACTGCTACAGGAAACAATGACGCACAATAAAACCCTTCAAGCTGGGTGACCCCACACTCTGATCAGCTAATAGATGCAAAAGTCTCCTTGGCTACATTTGTTAGGTTGTCTAAGGGTATTGCACATACAGCAGCCATTGCAGAAATACCTGAGCTAGCTTTAAACTAGTGCATTCAGGTGCCCAGAGCAGTCTAGCTACAGCAACTTACAATTCACTACAAAGCCTGCATGAGAAGGCTGTATTTAAAGGTCTGCAGGCATCATCTATACGGCAGCTCAGGGTCAGTGAATTTCCCTTGGCTCCTGGATAGTCATGCAGCCTGCACTACTGCAGCTACATAACCTGCTACCCCCAAGCTAACGAGCTGGAAGCTAGCTCAAGCCAAGCTACATGATACTGTGACTGTAGCGTGGATGCCCCTACCTCTGTGCTTTTAGACTGCATCTAAGCCACGGATATGAATGGGTCCCTCTAACCAGTATGTCACACCCCTCCAATCTGGTTACGGGTCTGCGTCCTCATGGCAGAAATTCTCCTACGACACCAAATGTGCGCTGATCGCACACGGGAGCCAGCAGGTCGAACCTAACTGCATTGGTACCAGAGGCAGAGGTGTAAGGGGGCAGTCCTCTCTCCTCCCTGTACCTTTTTTGCAGAGGGTGAGGTTCCCCTCCCCTCTTAAGCAGCACATGGGGCTCATGCCCCCCTCACCCACCCATCATTATGCTAGTAACCAGAGGGACTGGCATAGGGCATATGGGAAGAGCGCAATGAACAGGTAAGGCAACTATACACCGCTAGCAATGGCTCTACACTTGGATGCTAACAAAGTACTAAACAACGCTGGCTGATGATACAAACCACCGGTGAGAGCCAGTGCTGCTAACTCATCACAGACTCAGAATTAAACTATAGGCAGAAGAGGACGAATGGGCTATAAAAGTGCAAAGAAGAGCACCCTAAACACCAGAGCATAACAAGTAAGCTTTGGAGCCAACACCTATGCAGAGCTCACTGGAACAAAGCCTTGGTCCCCGGTTAGATGATGCATGTTGTCATGTGTTGTCGGTGAGTATTGCGTGATGAATCATAACATGCCAGACCTTAAAGCAGTTTATTCCTGGATAAAAATGGCAGATCAGCCACAAAGTTAAGTCGCTGACCAGCAACTTTTGTGGCACGGAAGAATCCTACAATAACACATGGCCAGTGGAGTGGTCCTGATTTGTCAACGAGATACTTGCATGTGTGAGATAAATGTAACTCCTGCCAGGGGCCTCGGATGCCTCCCTACGAATGCCATTCCTTGCTCCAGTGCCTTCTGTGGGAGTTGTTACTGCACGAGAAGCAAGGAAGCTGCTGTGCTTATGAGACCTGTAGCTGGCCCATCGCTTGGAAGGGTCATGCCTCAGCTCTTCTCAGTGCTTGACCTCATTCTGAAATGGAGATGAAGGCAAGAAAATGACTATGCTTGTGTACAATTAAGCAGATGGGGAAAAACTATTACATGAATGCAGGCAGCGGTTTTAGCCCCCAGTCCAGCTATGGTATTAACCAATGCAGAACATTTTAGCTATGCACAGACTAGCAGGGTCAGTGCTAGTTCTCATAGCTTTTGCTTTCCTCCATCATCAACCACAACACATCTTTCTTTCAACTGCTGGTTTCACTCTCTTCTTCCATATCATCTTAAATTATAGATGATCTTTGCCCTTGCTTCTTGAGGGCCTACGCTCCTTTGGGGATCTCAACCTGCCTGGGTGCATCTGAAATACATATAAAAAGCTTCAGCTTGATTTCTACTCAAAGGTGCAGTGCTGCAGTTTTAAAGCTTCTGAGAAGCTGGCAGTTTCACTACAGGCTATACGGGATGATCAAAAACATTATTTAAGAATCACAAAACTCCAGAGCCTGACATCCTGCAGCCAAGATCCTAGAAACCATTTTACACAATATATGTATACATAGATGCACGCACACATGTGCACATACCCCCACCCACACGCACTATATACATATACATATATATACACACACACATATACATACATACACACACACACACACACACACACACACGTGCACACACTGCTTGAATGGATTTATGCATTTTGTTATATAGCTAAACAATATCTTGTTATAGCATGCTAGCATTCATGTAATATAGATATAAAAACCATTCAAGCAATATACCCACCCACACACACATACTATATACATATACACATGCATGCACGTTGCTCAAATGGATTTTAGCATCTTGTTATATAGCTAAACAATATCTTGCTATACAGCATGCTAGCATTCACGTTAGCATATAACTTATATAAGCTATACATGCTATATTAGTAAGTTAGCATATTCATGTTAGCACATACACATATATAACATGAATGCTAGCATGCCATATAACAAGATACTGTTTAACTACATAAAAATGCTAAATTCAATTCAAGCAGGGTGTGGGGGAGTGTGCATATGTATACTGCTTGAATGCTTTTTAGTTATATCCTGGCTGCAGGATATAACAGCTACACAAATGTTTTGCAGCTTAGAGGCTTTGCAGTGTCTGTAAAGCTAGCAATTTAGAGCCATGATGGTAATGATGCTAGAACACAGGTCGAGGTCTCTGGCATTCCCAAACGATATGTCAGCTGAAGCTAAAGTGCTATTGCAAGTTAATTGCAACTATTTCTGGACCTCACCAGGTGGAGGGAGAGTCAGTGCTTGGCAAATGAAAGCAGCAAATCAGGAATGGGAAAAACCTTTTTAAGCAACTCCCAGTGAGAAGTGAAGGTAAAACTCTCAAAGCTAAAATTAATCCCTCTTTCAGCGCGAAAACTTCCTTATTAACGTAGGTTCTATTTAGAGAAAATTGGAGCTGTATTAGAGAGACAACACTGTATTTCAGCCCATGACATAGGATCTGCCGTTTCCATTGCTCCGAGGTCCTTTGGGCTGTTCAGTAAACCTACCTCGATTTGGCCGTACTATTTTCCCACTGGACAGTCTGCAAAGCGGTGGCCCCTCTCGAGGGTGCACAAGATGCCAGCAGGGCTGTAATGTAGAAGAGGGCTCCTGATCTGGTAGCAGTGGGGGACCGAATCAAATGAAAATGCCTTAGAGCAGTTAGCAGCGAAGGCTGGGGCTGAGGAGTTCAAAGGGCACAGAAGATGCTACCTGGAACAGGGGAGGAAGGTCGGTCAGAGCTGCAGCTGAAGAAGGTGAGGAAAAGGAAGGTCTGACGTGCGAGGTGGGCCCACAGCACCAAGAGGGAGTCACTGGCTGGTGGGAGGCTAGAAGGGAAATGCACAAGGGCAGTGAGGAAGGGAAGGGGGGGATGTGCCTTCTACTGCCCTTCGCCCCTTCTTATAGCAAGCTGCCAAAGGAAAGGAGGAAAAGCACATTGCTGCAACTCTTGGGGAGCATTCCAGCAGCTTAGTCAGAGGAGACATGCGTATAGGGAGCCGGCTGTGAAAGGGTTACTTCTTTCACATCCAGACTCCAAACATCTTTAAAAAAAATAATATGAATCCTATTTTAAACCCAGTGATTTCCCAAAGGCAAACTCATTCTGCCAACTAGGCATGAAACCCTCCCTTGGCTCCAGCCTCTCACAAGGGAGGGAGTTAGAAAGGTGGCAGCGATACAGCACATTTCAAAACCCACAGTGATTTACGCTAAAACGGATGCAACGACAATAACCCGGGCCTTAGGTATGTATGAAATCTTGTGGCTCCGATGCAAGCACTTAAGCCGATACGCAATCAGCACGCGGGACCTGGCTTCACTCCTGGGCAAGCCTCCCGCAGTGGGTCAAAGGAAGAGGGCTGCAAAGGTCTACTGCTGACTTGGTAGCACCAGAGAAGACCATGAGTCATGCACACTGCATGCACGCCCAACACCCCCAAGATCTACCTCCCCAAATGACCCAGCAGCAATGCTGCTGACCAAGTTGCTCAGATGAAGGGCAGCTGTAATAGCTCTGCATCTAGGCTACTGAGACCCTGAATGTCATAGTCAACGTCCAAGAAGGTAAGGAACTGGAGACAGTGAAGTCTCTTTAGAGCGTGCAAACTGCACGGCCAATGCAGATGGAGAGGGAAGGGCTTACCCATCCTGGTGGGCTTTAAAAAGGACTGCAGGCTACCCTGTCCTGGACCGCAGAAGGGTGTTGCCCTTTGATTGAGAACAGAGACAGGGAAAAGGATGTCCTACTGCACTACCTGGTCTCTCTCTCCTTAACCGAACAGTGGTTAAAAAGCAGACATTGGGTTTAATCCCAGGTCGATCCGACTCTCATTAACACAGGCGCAGAACAGTCCTTCACGGCATGCAGTGTGAATGGCAATTAACTGGGCAAAGTGTTAATCTGGACACTTCACGGGTACTTAATGTGGAAGAGCAAGGTTCACAGAGAATCAGAGAGAAGTAGGGCTGGCAGAGGTCATCTCAATCCCCAGTCTGGTTCACCATGTGTACAATCCCAGGATAAAAGGCTCCATGTCCCAGGTAAGGACGGGCATCGATATAATGAATAAATGCAGCATGCACAGAGTGCTCCCTCAAATGAGCACGCTATCCCAAGCAATAAGCTAGCAGCTCTCAGCTTGAACAGTCCCATTTCCAACGCTGCTTCTGGTCGCGCAGAAAGGCGGCACCATGCTCAAAAGAAAAAGTATTAACGCTTGCTAGCAAATAGGAAACAAATGGCTGTAAAAGCAGAATGGGGCGCCAGGTTAGCCAAAGTCGAGCATGTGGCAGTAATTTAGGTACGAGGAGCGTCTGGCTGCAGAGCCGGCTATGCATCAGAGAGTACGGGACTTCATTTCTTGGCCAGCTGCAGATAATAGCAGCCAGTCTGGCCAACACTGCTATCTGAGAAGCCCAGAACCGAGGGGTCTACAGTAAGAGCTGAAGACTGCTAGCTATGCAAAATCTTCTCTCTGATGGAATAATCAGAGTCTTCCAGATCCTCAAAAAAAGCTTCCCCCTGCTCGCAGCCAGCATCACTGCTGTCTTCTCCAAACAGAGCCAAAAGCCAGCTGACTTTGTCCAAGTTCCGGCAGACAGAGCAAGAAAACATCTGCCTGGGCTCAACGAGGAGAAGCCGAGCCGAGTGTTGTTAGTACGGCGATGACACCGGATCCCGTCACACCACATACGAGCCTTCCACGGAGACTGAACACGTACGCCACAAAACACCAACTTCGTGGAAAACCTCAACACCTCTGGGAAAGGAAGGGGAGCGCTCCATAAAACACACATCTTCCATTATCCAGTCATCAGGAAACGCACCCGACAAGTTACAGCATTCAGCTTTGCAGGCCGGCACCTTTTTAGACACGGCCTAAAAAGCTGCTTATTTTGCAGGAAATGAATAACAAGATTCATTTACTTATTTTTTCCAATCAAAGTGAATTATAGTATCAAAATGGACAACTTCAGGAGGCTTCCTCCAATTATACCCAATAACCACAATTAAACAAAATCTATTAAGACAAACCAAGCTCTTGACTATCTCAAGAAGCCCCTCCAAGACACTTCAGTCTACACTGTGCAGCTTTCCTAGCATCATTCTCCCAGTGAACTCCCTTCACGCAGATCTGGCTCATTTTGGCAAAGGGAGTTCTTTCATCTTGTTAAACCATCTCCACAAACAACATAAGATATAGCAGCAAAATATCCTTGTGCCACACAGGCTCCTACAGAAAGGATGTGGACAAACTGGAGAGTCCAGTGGAGGGCAATGAAAATGGTTCGGGGCTGGGGCATGATTTCAGGAGAGGCAGAAGGAACTGGGCTTATTTAGTCTGCAGAAGAGAAGACCGAGGGGGATTGAATAGCAGCCTTCACCTCCCTGCAGGGGGGTTGCAAAGAGGATGGAGCTGGGCTGTTCTCAGTGGGGGCAGATGGCAGGACAAGGAGCAATGGGCTCAAGCTGCAGCAAGGGAAGTTGAGGTTGGGTATTAGGAAAAATTCTCTCACTGGGAGGGTGGTGAAACACTGGAATGGGTTACCTAGAGAGAACGTGGACTCTCCATCCTTGGAGGCTTTTAAGGCCTGGGCAGACAAAGCCTTGGCTGGGAAGATACAGTCAGGGATAGTCCTGCTTTGAGCAGAGGGTTGGACTAGTTGTGACCTCCAGAGGTGCCTTCCAATATTAGTTTTCTATGATTCTAAGTTGTATCTACATGGGGAAGAGTAGAAGGGGTTGCCTGTCCCCTCGCTGATCTGCTGCGGGTGGGGGGTGCCACTTGCGGCATGCATGCTGCATCTTGACTACCCCTGCCATGCAGCATCTAGCACGGGGTCTAATACTGGTCTAATCCTATACTTAGAGTGGTGTAAATATTAACAGAAGACTTTAGCAGACTTCATTTTGTGCTCTCCATAGCACCTGTAGGTTTGGGATTTAAAGACTGGGGTGGAAACAAACAGGGAGAAAAGGAACCAAGTAAACTACACGTCTATTTGTGCACGGGGTGGGGGGGTGACAGGAGCTGGTAGAGTGTCTGGTCAGAAGCAGGTAGGGTGGAAGAAGTCAAAGGGGTGGCTGGGATGCCTACAGGTGGTGGGAGAGGTATGGAAAAGGAAATCATAGACAGTCATAGAAAGTTAGAGCTGGAAGGGACCTCAAAGCAGGACAAGCCCCAACTACATCATCCCAGCCAAGGCTTTGTGCAGTTGGGTCTTCAAAACATCCAAGGATGGAGACTCCACCACCTCTCATCTAACCATCACATTTGTCATATTTTCAACAAGAACTCCTGGGAGTTCAGCACTTTTGAAAATCTAGTTCTAATGCTCCTGAATCAAAGCACTGCTGCTTGCACAGCAAACCGTGTTCAGGACATGAGCAACCCTATAAAACATTCCCTCCAAGAGGCATTCTGGCATCGGCCTCCCTTTTTCTCCACTTGCTTAAATTACGATGCGCAAGAAAGAGTTAAGGCTTCAGATCCACCCTGTGACCTTGGCTAGAGGCCTTTCATTGGTATGAAGAAAGGTTGCCCTGACACCACACTCCCTTGCTGGGACACTTTATTTTGCAAAGATGGCTCTTTTCTTCCTGGGATCATGCTATGTATCCGTAACATACTTAGCCACCCATGCAGAGCGGGCAATACAGCAATAGCGGCTCCTTCAGGACAGCTAAAATCATGAGCTTTTGAAGCAGCAGCATCCAAGCTACATAACCATAAGAGTGCTTAATTCTGCATGAAGAGCTACAACCTATGAGACAACATGGCTTGTAAAACCGCTCTAAGTGAGCAGGCTCAGTGACCATGTTTTGGCTTCCAAGTTCACTTCTGCTGAAGGCTTGGAGAGCTGCACAGCTGCACCGACAGCGGGACAGTGCTCCAGAGGAAGTCTCCTGTTGAAGCCCTACTTATCCAGATGCCTGGATAGATTTTCCCCTGTACATCTCGAAGGATTTTACAAAGCATTGCTCCTACTGCATGGACGGTGAAACCATGGTCAGTGACTTGGCCATGGTTATACAACTAAATCAGGACTAGATCAGGATAAGATCCCTGCTCTCCCCACTGAATCATGCCGTGTCCACTGGGATAGGCAGATTATTCTAGTTTGAAAACACATCCGTGGCCTTCCCCCTACCATCTGCAAGGTTGTCTCCCTCAAGCTGCACAGCATTGAAATTCATGAAGCGAATTCCTTGCTGGACAACATGGTTGTTCAACATGAAATACGATGTCTGAATCAACAAGCAAAAATCCTTTCTAAGGCCACGGTACCCACATGCAAGAAAACAAAAGCCTCCAAGACCTTAAAAGGGGAGATTTAAGAATTAAAGCACTGTATCTTTGCCTTCGCCAAAGAAGCAGCAGTGTGCCTGATAATAGCCCAGTATGTCTATTTTGCAGGGCAGAGGAAAGGTAGATTAGAGCTTCATGAAATTCGTTATAAAACAAGTTGTGATGGCTGAGAGGAGGTCGGTCTACCTGAATTCACCTTCTGGCAGACACAAAAAAACCTGATTTTCTGCTCACCCTTTAAAGATGAGGTGGAAGATGGGATATTTTGTCTGCTGCTCACGCTTACCTTCATTGGGTTTTCATCATACGTCGGGGTCCCAAGGTCCATTTCGGCTTCATGTTCAAGACTGGCATCATCTCCTGGGCTGTCCCAGTTAGGAGGATCCCACTGAGTTTGTCTAGCAAAAGAAAGGAATGGTTATTCTCTCTTAATTTGGGGTAGCAAAGACGTCTCAAAGAAGTGATCTTCATGTAGGCCTCGATGGAGCATTCATTAGGTATATATGGCACACACAGACCACACATAGAAGTCAGCCCTGCCTGCCTTCTGCAAAGAGCTGGCTGCAGGCAGGATGCTTGAATTTGAGCCCACACAAAGTACCCTCACTCAAGTGGACTAGAAAAAAATATTTGGATGGATTTGGACATGAACAGTGTTACACGCCTTGGAAAATAATGAAGTACTATGAACAAAGCGGTAATGCACAAGGCAGAGAGTGCTGAGGGCATCGAAAAGGACTCTCTCGTTTGGAGTTTCTGCTGTTTGGTCCATAATGGGAAGCATTCGCATGGCTATCCCAATCCGAACGCCTGTCTTGGGAGGAGGGGTGTGGGGAAAAATTCTCACTCAAATGGGCCAAACAACCTTCAGCACCATAAAACACTATTTAAGAGCCTTGCTAATAAGCTAGTAGTTGTGCTACTCTTTAAAAAAAACCCACTATCAATAAGGCATAATAGTAAAATAATATTTACCAAATCGGGGGAAGGAGCTGGCATATAGTTTGCCTCTTTATGGAACTGCCTGGGAATACTGAAAGTTTAAACAAAGCATCTACAGCAAGTGTTCAGTGGGGAAAACTGTCCCGAAGCTTAAGAATAATTATATTGAACCATCAGCTTCCAATGCAACTAATGGCGTATTTACTGTATAAAGATACCAACATCAATAGGTACAGCTAAATTGCACCTCAGGCCTTTGATAACTAGACTCCCCCAGAGGGAATACATGTTACTGCTAGATAATCAGCAAGGTCTTCCCAGCTTCCTGGAGTTGATGCTCTCCTGTCTTCCTAGTGTAGCACCCAGCCCATGACTGGGTCTCCTAGGCACTACTGCAATGGAAATCATTCACATTTGCATCAAAAATGGGGGGTAGTCACGCTAACACATGACTAACACATCATGTGTATCATGCTAACACATCTTAAAATAAGAAACTGAATTCTCAAATCTCTTTTTTCTAAGCTTAATTCCATATAAAACTCCTTGTTTTCATTCTATACATTGGTGGTGAATGGAGTTTACAAAATAAGCACACTGGGCATGACAAATATCAACTTTTTTCTACCACAGGCCCAGAAACAAGCTATTTTACATTCACCAACAAAACAACACCACGTCCTTTGACTTGCTACAGTGCTGAAAAGAGGTTTAAGGCAGGGACAACTGGCATGAAGAGGAAATCTAGGATTGCAAAAATCAGGATCGCGCCTGTCCTGTATGTCCATCTAAGAAGTGACAAGATCTCACATTGCCACCGTCTCGTCTACAAAGTTCAAAAGATTTAAAACACCATATACAGTCTAGCACTGAATGCATCACAGGTTTTACTGGGCGGTAAACAGATCCTGCTTCAAGAAGCTTTCAAGCTATGTACATTGACCTATGAAATCCATTTCATCAATTAGATTTCATCAATGAAATCTATAAAATCATGGGTCTCACTGCTAGAGTGAAAGGGGCTGCATGAACTGTGCATCATGTTATTACATATTAAGATAGGAAAGCAAAAGGAAAACTGTTTCCAACCAAAAAGGAGATATGAATGAAAGAGGACTGGCCTAAAAAACGGAACATGACCAGGGCCTCTTTAAGTGTCATACGATTTTAAGTCATCAACACGGCGTTAAGCCTGACAAAAGTGCCCTTTACTGTCCCAATGCTGACAGTGACACCAAATCTTGCTGGGGCTCCTCATAAGCTAGATCTGGACCTGGAGGAGCTGCATGTGCTGGATCCAGAACCTGACAGCAGGGTAAGCAGCATGGCTTCAGCTCAGGGACTGCAGGGCTTAATGCAGCCATCACTCACTCTGCTGCTGCTGCAACAGGTCCCCAGGGGGGCTCAGCACCCTGGGATTCAGCAGCAGGCTCCACTCATGCTCACCCTGTCCCTTCCAGGAACCCCGCAGGCCAGATGACAGCTCCGTGGGCCGCATCTTTGACAGCCCTGCCCTAAATGAATCACTAAAGACTACCTGCCTGCAACTCTGCTGTGCCACTTGGGGAATACCAACAATGTAGAATAAGGGCTTTCCAGCCCCCAGAGGAGCATTTACCTTGTAATCACATGGTAATAGTAGATCTTCCCTTCTGGATCTCGGGCTGTTTTCCAGTTGGGAGGGAGGACGATGGTTTTAGGTTTTGGAGGAGACGGCGGCGGCAAATCCAGGAGATTGTTGGTCACCACCATCTCAGGCTACAAATACCCCCCCACCAAAGAAGAAAGGTCAGGAAGGAGTCATAGTGTTACAAGATCTGAGACCGGTCACTGAGCCTAAGCTCAAGTGATTTTTGTTTCTGAAGACACAAGCTACAGGCCTGTTTACAGCAAATGGCATGAAACAAAGTCTACAGAGAGAGAGAAAAATGGATGAACAGGGTGACCCAGTTAGCCCCTGCCAATCCTATGCTCCTTATCCTCATTTTTCAGAAGAAAGATGGATTATGACAGCCCTTGCTGTCTATATACAAGCTGTTGGGTAAAGGATAGGAAAGGTGGGCATGCACATCAATGAGTGCTCTCGGAGAAGGGATGGTCTTTCAAAGGAATCTATACTAAACTGTAACCAATTGCTAGACAATAAATAAATTGCTAGACAATAAATCCAGGGAGTTTGCAATCGTTATTTGGGAAAGGATATATTCTTCCTCCACTCAAAAAAAAAGAAGAACAGGGGAACACCACCACATGGAATGGATAAACCATTCTTTCCTTGGGAAGATGAGGAAGAAACTGCATTTCTTAAGCTGCTGCCAGGCAAAAAGCACAGGGACTCATTGATCAGCTGTGCCTTTGACTCCCTTCTCTTGCCTGTGTATGGCCAGGGTAACAAATTACCACAGGGTAAAAGGGGCAGGGCTTTCCCATGGATCAACTGCCTGTACGCACCCTCTTACTGAAGGATAACTGGAACCTAAATCTATATATGTTGCAGTAAAGCGCTCAGTGGAAGAGGGCTACAAGTACCAATACGCAGGGCTTCAGTAGTCAGCTCTGCAATACATGAATAAAGCTGTTTTGTTCTTCGATAGGCTTTGCTCATGAAACATCTTCTTCATAAGCCACAGAATCATAGAAAATGAGGGCTGGAAGGGATCTCTCTTCCAGCCCCCTGCTCCAAGCAGGACCAGCCCCAACTACATCATCCCAGCCAGGGCTTTGAGTAGTTGGGTTTTGAGTAGTTGGGTTTTGAGTAGTTGGGTTTTGAAAACCTCCGAGGATGGAGACTCCACCACCTCTCTGGGGACCCTGTTCCAGTGCTTCATTATGTACTAACTGAAATAGTTTTTCCTAATATCCAACCCCAACTTCCCGTGCTGCAGCTTGAGCCCATTGCTCCTTGTCCTGCCATCTGCCCCCACTGAGAACAGCCCAGCTCCGTCCTCTTTGCAGCCCCCCTGCAGGGAGGTGAAGGCTGCTATTAAATCCTCTCATTCTTCTCTTCCGCAGACTAAATAAGTCCAGTTCTCTCAGCCTCTTCTCACAAGTCCTGTGCCCCAGCCCCTGAGCCGTTTTTGTGTTCAGAAGATAGGCGGTTTACATCTCATGCCTAAAGAATGCTGGTATTGTAACCCACCCTACAATTAGTCCCTTGCAAAACTATAGCAACCACCATGAAATCAAACAAAAAGACAAGATTCAGGAAAATAACACACAAATTCCCATGTCCTTCACATCTCAATGCATCAGCTCTCACCTGCTGTATGGGCTGAGGCTGGCCAGCTGCCACGATGGTTGTTACTGCTGTTGTTGGTTGTACCACTACTCCCTGTGGATGCGCTGTGTAAATCTGCTGCCCCTGGATGTACTGAAGACCTGGCTGTGCGTAACTCTGAAACAAAACAAGAAGAGTTAGAAAATGAATTTCCGATCTGAAAACCCATTTCTTTCCACCCAGGTGGAGTACAAAAACAGGGTATTGTTTGCTTGTAATCTTAAAATACAGTGCAGGGCAAGATATTCCTTTTGTTGTGAAGCTGTTCCTACAGCCGAAATACAGTGATGTACTTGTAAGGGTTCCCCCATGGTTGATGCCAAGGAGAGTATGACAGGGGATGGATTACACTAAACGTGCCCTGTACACATATACATCCTCTAAAGTGTCTACTGCTAGCCACGGTCAGAGACAGGATGCTGGGCTAGGCGGACCAGTGGTTTCACCCAATATGGTGCTTATGTTCTCATGTTTAAATTCTTGCATTTCATCTGTCTCACTGTTGGTCCTTCACTGAAATTTAAGTAAAAAATATTGCAGCTGGTACATCTCAGAGCATTTATTTCTTTGGAGCAAGAAGGAAATGCAGAACTGAGCAAAATGGATGCTGTTATGAACTTATTTAAGGTGAAGAAATGGATTGAAATGAGTCAAACCTGCAATGTATCTTAACTAAAGCCAATATTTCAGAGCCTGTAACTGAAAAACAGACATCAGTGAGGGATTCCCCCATGGGCTCCCCACTTGCAGATGCAAACTATGGGAATCTCCAGCAAGGGGATTCCTGAGGAGTGTCTATCTTGCTGCTGCACCCTGACTTAGGACAGCCCGGCAGATGTGTGCACCGAGTCCAGGCGCAGCAGTGAGATGCAGGCATGGCAGGAGAATGCCTGCAGGGGATTCCAGCTGCAAGTGGGGAAATGCCCATGGGGGTTGCAGACCCGCTCACTTGCAGATGCGTGCCCCGAGTTGGGGAATGGCACCCAGCGCTGCTGTCCTACAGGATCAGGACCTAAAGCCCTGGAAGCTGCAAGGGGACAACCCCATGGGACAAGGCCCCCTGCCAGTGATGTCTGCAGATGCCAGTGAAGCAGATCAGATGTGCTGGGACACATCCTGGCATAGCTGATCTTGCTCCACAGATGACACCGGTGTACAGGTCCCCCCCTTTCAGCAGACAATAACCATCATCTTCCAGATGACTTCAGCTGCTCCCTCACATGCTGGGCATGGTGATGCTTCAAGGACTGACACCTTGTTCTTCCACTGAACAGATGCTTTTGACCAGGGCATTGTGTGGGTAGGACAATTAAAGCAGTGCAGGTTTAGTCGACTGCTGGAGACTAAGACCCTAGTCAACTGTCTCTCTGTAAAATGAGTCAGACTTATTGGCGTGAAGTATAGCGTGGTCAGATGTGGACATTTCTTGGGAGTGGATTTTAACAACACAGAACTAATACTTGATGAAATCCTCCATTCTCCGGCAACCGTTACTTTTGGGTAAACTTGGGAGAAACTGAAAAAATGCTGGATAATTGCTTCTGAAGGAAACAGTGGACCTATTCTGAATAAAACAAGACTTCAGGCTAGCAGGGACTCAGGTTCAGCCTGTGTGCTGCACTCAAGAAGGCTAATGAGATCCTTGGAAGCATAAGAAAGGAAGGAAAAGCTGCATCTACATAGCATTTGGCTGAAGTGCTGTGAAGATTTCATAGACATCAGGGCTGGAAGGGACCTCGGAAGATCATCGAGTCCAGCCCCCCGCCCAAAGGGCAGGAAGTCAGCTGGGGTCATAGGATCCCAGCAACATAAGCATCCAGTTTCATCTTGAAGGTGTTCAATGAAGGCGCTTGAACCACCTCCGGTGGCAGGCTGTTCCAGACCTTGGGGGCTCGGACAGTAAAGAAATTCTTCCTTATGTCCAGCCTGAAACGATCTTGAAGTAGTTTGTGACCATTCGACCTCGTCATCCCTTGGGGCGCTCTGGTGAACAAACGTTCCCCCAGATGCTGGTGGTCACCCCTGATAAACTTGTAGGTGGCCACCAGATCACCCCTGAGCCTGCGCTTTTTCAGGCTAAAGAGCCCCAGGGCTCTCAGCCTGTCATCGTAGGGTCTGCTTCCCTGACCTCTGATCATGCGCGTGGCTCTTCTCTGGACTCTCTGAAGCTTCTCCACATCCTTTTTGAATTGTGGAGCCCAAAACTGGACGCAGTACTCCAGCTGCGGCCTCACCAAGGCCGAGTACAGGGGGAGAATGACGTCCCGGGATTTGCTTGAGAAGCATCTATGGATGCAAGCCAGCGTTTTGGTCGCTTTACTAGCCGCCGCATCGCACTGCAGGCTCATGTTCATCCTGTGGTCAATGATGACCCCCAAGTCTCTTTCTTCCATAGTACCAGCCAACATAGCACTGCCGAGCCTATAAGGATGCTGCGGGTTTTTCTTCCCAAGGTGGAGAACCTTGCATTTATCGGCGTTGAACACCATCAGATTCTTGTCCGCCCACTTGCTGAGCCTGTCCAGGTCCAGGCCTGTCCAGGTCATATTGTTTTTGATTAAAAAAAAAAAAAAAATAGCCTGCCCTCAGCTCAGGAGCATGGTAACTTTGCCATGTAAAATGAGTAGAATAGGAGAGAGTAATTACATCTTCATTTGGCATGACTGACGGATGAAAAGTCTACTTAATCTATTTAGCTCCTCAAAGAGGAGGGGAAGGGGAGACTTGATCTCAGTCTACAAGTACCTAAAAGACGACAGATGTTTGGCAAGATGGTTATACCACATGAAGAGGTAACAAGGTCCAAAGGCAAGAAGCTGAAGGTAGACAAATTAAGATTCAAAGTATGGCACAGCTATTGAAAAAATTAACCAGAGATAGCGCTGGATTCCCCAACTCAAAACATTTTTCAATCAAGACTGCGTTGTCTCTTCCTTTTTAAGTTTGCTTTCATTCAAGACACAACTCACCCCATGAACTCCCCTAGCGTGTGTTATGCAGGAGGTCAGACCGGTTAGTCACGAGGGTCCCTTCCGAGCCTGGTAATCCATGAAAGTCTCTCACTTCAGACCATGACCGGCGACTACCTTTTTTCTTCTCGGTGTTACTGAAATTCCTGTGCTAAACATTTGGCGTTGGCTCCACTAAGAAGATCAGTACTGACACGTAGAAGTGGGATGCGAGCTGGTTTTGTTAAGCTGGTATACGCAAAAGAACGAACCAAGACCCTTGTGCTTTTTTCAGCTGCCGGTGTCTAGCAAAAGCGGCTACCGCACCTTTGTGAATGCACAAACCTTGCTTTTTCAGTGTCAACAGCAACTGGAACTACTCGCCGGTTATATCTTAGGAAGTCAGAGGGGCTTAAAACTAGATCAGGGATGGTCAACCTGAGCACGGGTGACAAGTGCCATGGGCAGCCTCCGTGTGTGGTCCGTGGCAGGGTGGGGGTGCAGCAGGCAGCGCAGCAGCAGATAGTGCAGGGAGCAGAAAGCAGGGCAGCAGATTGGACAGGCAGCGGGGAACTGGGAGCAGAAAGCAGAGCAACAGATTGGACGGGGCAGGGGGAAACAGAGTGGCACTCCGGGAGGGTGTGGGGCTAATCTGTGGCACCCTGTGGCCCTTACTGAACTAAACGAACCCTCATTAGCCATTTGAAATGCTGAGTCTCTATTGAGCGAACTGAACTGAACAAGTTTGAACTGACTTGCCCAACTCCGGGATTCAAGGATGTAACAGAGAAGAGCACCAGGACCCCCTGGTTCCCAACGGCTGATACCTAATTACTAAACAATTGTCTCTACAATTTGGTGCTGTGTACCTGGGTATTGAAGGACTATACTTTAATCCTAGTCTAAGGCAACAGTAGACATGTCAGCAATGTTGAAAGACCAAGACTATGAAGTAACTCAACAGGTTCAAGTACCAGTGGAAGACAAATCCTGTTCAACTTGGGACACACAATAGTTATAGGCAACAGAGATGTCTCGTCTCATTTTACACCTTCTCCTTTGAACTGATGATCACGGAGAAGTCTGTTAGTTTTCTCTTCCCCTCTCACTTTGCATGTTTCTACTTGAATAAAGATGCACATTTCCTAACATGGATGAGAGACAAGTTTCGTGCTCTTGGTGAATTCTCCTATGTACCACAAAAGATCTTTTGTCCCATTTACTGCGTTGAGTATTTGGAAAAAGCTAAAAGTTTTAACTGGAGAGTGTATGCAATAGCTGTGGAAGGAGATGTGCTGACTCCAGTCCAGTAATCTGCAGACCAGGTGGAGCACAGCCAGCCATTGCACCCTAAACCTGATGAGACCATGCAAGGATGAAGGGAGACTTCAGCCTCTACTGCATGACCTGTCCTTGGCTAATGCAGTGCATCCCCAGCAAGTCTGCAAATGACACCAAGCCAGAGGGAATAGTAGATATGCTGGTGCGTAGGACTAGGATTCAGAGAGACCTCGACAAATAGGAGGATTGGACCAAGAGAAAATCTTGTGAACTTCAATAAGGACAAGTGCAAAGTCCTGCACTTAGGACAGAACAATCCCAGAGACTGACAGGCTGGGCAGCAGCTCTGCAGAAAAGGACCTGGGGGTGACCATGGAGAAGCTGAACAGGAGCCAGCAGTGTACCCGTGGTGCCAAGAAGGCTAATGGCATCCTGGGCTGCATCGGTAGGAGCATTGTCAGGAGGAGGGCAGTGATTCTTCCCCTCTATTCAACACTGGGGAGGCCACATCTGGAGTCCTGTGTCCAGTTGTGGGCCCCCCACAACAGAAAGGATGTGGACACATTGGAAAGAGTCCAGTGATGGGCAATGAAAATGGTTGTGGGCTTAGGGACAGGACTGGTGAGGAGAGGCTGAGGGAACTGGGCGTATTTGGTCTGGAGAAAAGACTGAGGGGGACTGAATAGCAGCCTTCACCTGCTTGCAGGGGGCTGCAAAGAGGATGGAGCTGGACTGTCCTCAGTGGGGGCAGATGACAGGACAAGGAGCAATGGGCTCAAGCTGCAGCAAGGGAAGTTGAGGTTGGATATTGGGAAAAATCTTCTCAGTAGGAGGGTAGCAAAACACTGGAACAGGTTACCCAGAGAGGTGGTGGAGTCTCTATCCTTGGAGGTTTTGAAGACATGGGTAGACAAAGCCTTGGCTGGGATGATGTAGTTGGGGCTGGTCCTGCTTGGAGAAGGGTTTGGACTAAATGTGACCTCCTGAGCTCCCTTCCAGCCCTCATGGTCTGTGATTCTCTGAGCTGTCAGGAATGCAGTCATGAGGGCAAACCAGCAGTGGTTGTGGTTCTGGGGTGAAAACGCTTGTCCACAAGGGACCAGAACGTTCAATAGTTTCATAGATTTTAAGACCAGAAGGATTATTACATCATCTAGTATGACCTCCTGTATAACAAAAGCCATTCGGCTTCACCCAGATACCTCTATACTGAGCCCTGAGACTTCAGTTAGACAAAAGCATGACAGTCCTCAGGATAATGCAAGCTGCAAGTAGGCAACAGGAGAGACCAAAGTGCTCCTAATGCCTAAGCCTTCAAAACAACGGCAGGAGATATGGCATGCTCACATGATCCCAGCAGGTAAAGCAGGTGGCAGAAGAAAGCAAACCCCGCCACGGTCCCTACCATACTGGCCTGGGGAGAAATTATTTCCAACTAAAACTGGCAATCAACTTGACCTTGCACACGTGAGCAAACATGTCAGCCTGGCACATAGGAATGATTCTTCGCTTATCATCAGAGTAGAGGGCGCCAACACAGTGAACCAACCTTCTGCTGCGACCAAACCTGGTGTTTCATAATAAGGTTAAAAATACACTAAAATGCATCCAGCCCATTGTGCATCAGGAAAAAAGCACCTTCCTGATCTCTGCAGATAACTACCAATTCAAGCTTGCGTCACCAGCCATCATATATATATTAAGAATCAATATCAGATGGTGATAATCACTTGACTGGGGTTAAATTAACCCCTGATGTCCAAGTGCATGTATTATTAGTTCTCCTCTGAGCCACGTGGCTACCCATGAAGACGTGTCAGTGTCAGTGAAGATCCAGTAGCAGAGCCTTTGCTAACAGGAAAAAACACCCAGGCAGAAAGAGCCAGGGTGAGTCAGACCACCTAGATCTGGAAGTGCAAGGGAACGAACAATGAACACTAGGATGTGTTTGGAGTCAGCCTGTTCTCCAGACTCCAGAAGTCAAAGATACTGAAGATTTGTAGACTGAAATAAACTGCACAGACCTGGTATCATGGAGTTCTGGCATGATCAAATTCCTCCTATTTTACCCTTAATTTAGGTCAGCAGAACCCCTGCAGGAACAGATTTCCGTGTTCAGCCATCCAAACACAGCCTTCGATTCTATAATGCAGCAACACGCTCCAGGGTCTCCAGGTAAGGATGTTTCTAAATATTCACCCACGGGTTATGAATGTGAAGCGACTACACACTTGTAATATTTGACTGCTTATATAACGTGGCCTGCTAGAGAACCATCTTACCCAGTGTATTACAACAGTTATTTGCAAGCAACAGAAAAGGAAAGGAACATATGTGGAACTGGTACAATCTTTTGCTAGCTAAGCACTGAGGCCCAATGAGTAAGATATACTTCATTTGAGCAGATTAGAAAGAAAAATCTTCTGGGGGAAAAAAAACGCTTTTACTCAGACCCCAAGAGGCAGGATTATACGATTAAGCTGCACCAGTATTAACTGCGACAGTGCTAATTTACTCCTGACTTGTCAAATGCAACAAGAGATGTTAGCTGGGGAAAAAACAAAGGCCTTCCAGCTAGTGATCCAACTCCTTTCCTTCCTTTGTTTTTTTTGTGCTAAACTGTGCTAAAAATGCATTATGAATCCTTGAAATAGGAGTTACCGGTACAATTGGCGGAGTTGTCTGAGAATAAGGTGATGTCACACCATAAACAGTCTGGCAGGTCTGTCCCTGGTAATATATGGCTGGTTGCGACTGGGCCGGAGAGTACTGCTGTTGTACAGCGACAGTCTGCTGGCTGGAATCCCATATGCCATAACTCTGTCCCTGCACCGGACCCGGTGCAGGCACTGGCAAGACAGCGACGCTAGGTTCCTGATGAACGACGGTGTCACTTTGTGCTACATACTGCGGGGTGGTAACCTCCATCGTTGTTGCTACATGTTGTACTACTGGTACCGGCTGCGGCGTGGTCAAGGTCGGTTCAACCGTGTGTCCGACTAAAGTCTGGGGATGCTCATAGGCTGCCGGGGAGCACATGGGATCCATGGTTGGAGTGGGGAGAAGCACCTTCCCAGCATTGGGGTTGCTAGGATCCACGTAAGCTTGCATGGGGTAGCCCGGGGGATAGCCAATGAAGCTGTGGTGAGAACCCCCGTAGCCCATGGATTCGTAGGGGAGCGGGGAGGTCATCCCGAGGTTCTGCAGTTGCTGCTGCTGTTTCTGAGCCTCCCGCTGGGCGACCTCCTGCTCGAACAGTTTCCGACGTTCTTCCGTGGACAGCTTGTTGCGATCCTTGAGCCGTACTTTCTTCTTGGAGGATGCTGGTGTGTCATACCTGGAAAGGAGAAATGAGCTGTAACACATGTCCTAGAGATGCAGCAATACAATTTACAGGCAATACCACCATTAATAACTCCTTTATAAAACCAAAGGGATGGAAGCAGGAATTGCAACAAAAAAACCCAAAACAACACAGATGGCTCCAAGCTGAAACTCTGAATGCAGGTTTCTTAGCTTCAAGACTAGTCTAAGGAAAAGACAGATTGTTAAGAGGCTACAATAGATAAGGAAATGCCTGGGCTGGGTTACTTCTTTGGTATTTCTCATCACGTGTGCACAAGACACACATGTGCATGCACAGGTGTATATGCAAGCACACAGTTGCATTTTCCTTTTCAAAAGTGGAATGAGTCCAAAATAACGGCAAAGCTCTTGTTCACACTTTTATAGCAAATCCAGTGATGCAACTCAACTTTCAGGGGAAAAGTGTTATTTTTCAAAGGTATGACCAAGTAAAGCAGTATTGCTCCAGATTTTTAAAAATGCATTAAGTATTTCTTCAAATCAACAGGTGCCTGTGCTCACATTTCCTTTCTGAGCTCTACCGTAGCTTCTTTAACTTAACATTTGCTCAAGTAAAAGGAACTTGCTATACATGGGGTTTATTTAACATGATATCTACTGTGGTCCACACACTAACAGACAGCTACTCTGATCCTTTCCTTCCTTCCACGACCATGTAGTATGGCTGTGGCACTAGGGTAACTGCCTCCATGGAAAAAGGAAAGAGCATTAGGAAACAGGTCCATTGGATCTTCATGAACAAAGTGCTGCAGGCAAGACCTTGGGAGCCTCTGCCGTCTTGCAGTGCAAAATGTTACGTACGACTGGGGACAAGCGACAGCTCTTGTGACAGTAACCCTACAGGTCTTTGACTACAGTATGTTGACTGCGTCTTAATTGTGACTTAAGTCATTAGCACTAGCGGCATCCAAAATATGGTGAAACCTTGTGTCACTGCTGTCCCCCTCATTTAATGATCCTTGTTGAAGATTTCTATCTTCTTGGCTACAGTGCAGCTTTAGGTTGTCAGAGAACTTAAGGTTTTCAGCAAAGCACAGGTAATTATCCGCCTCAGCACAGCATATACGTTTTAGTCTATAAAAGTTCATTCAATACAGCCCAAGAGAAACCGCTGTACAGTCTAACAGTGCATCTGTTGTAGTGCTTCCCAGACGGGGGCTGAAGTGAGCGTTGGCAATAGGAGAAAGGAAGACATGAGAAAGCAAGAGGAAGAAAAGGAAAAAAAAAAATATATATATATATATATATATATATGGAAAAGGGAGAGGGAAGAGGAAGAGAACAACTCTACAATATTTCTTAAGGTTGTTGAGGATGTTAGTATGGTCAGAGACACGAAAGTGTTACTTTACCCATTAGATGGTACTAATGCACACAGTGGTATAATACATTTAAATAGTAAAATAAACTTAAAATGGGGCAAAAAGCTTTGACAATCTCGGATATATTGTTACAGCTTTCCCTGGCAGTCAACAAGACAGTGCTGAAAGCTGGTTTGAGATTCCATTATAACCTACTCGCCAAAGTGTCCTATAAATTACCTGCTCTGGCCAATATTTTTTGTAACTAGTAGGGCCCAGGTTTTTTTTTTGGAGAAAGGAAAAAATTGTATTTGCTAACTTTAGGAGCAATGCAAGGGTGCAAAGGGTGAGATTCAGGCGTTTATGTAACAAGAAAAAAGGTTTTGTGTGCATGCTTTCCTCAGCAGCTAACATTAATGTACTAAGAGCCTTAGTACACTTTCTGAATACCAGTCTCCAGCCCATTTTGCAGACATTATTAAAGAACAATGGAATTATAAGCAACTGATTTTTGTTAAAAGTTATGCTGTTTATTAGACCACAGATCTGTCTAAAAGCATAGCTAGACATTTTTCTTTTTGAAAACAGTAATAGCATTTTACACCCAGAAATGGAAAAACAGCTGAAACACAAACCAGATTTTTCCAGGGGACTGGGAGGGAGAAGTTAACTTTGGTCAGACACCAAAGGATGGAAAATTTCAGATCAAAGGTGGATATTTTGAGAAGTGCGCAAAAACAAGGAGCAACGAAGGAAAATGCTTTGTGGTCGCAACTACAAGCACCCAATCTGTTCTTAATCTAGCTAGCTTGATACTGATGTGCCCAATTTACATCTCAGTACTGTATTGTGACAAAAAACACACATCGCAAAAGAGTTGTTCTTTTGTTTCCATAAATACCAAGAGCAGCTATGAGTGCTTGCTCACATGAACATGGACTTAGGAACTCAATTAATGGGAAACTTCGTTCTTTTTCTGTGCTGGTCAATCTAGCCCAGCGTCTGCCTCTACCCTACTCCTTGCCTCCATCTGCTTCACATGCCACCAAAACCCAACTTCGACCCCACTGACCTTCCTTTTCCATCATGCTATTTCTAGTCCCTCTACCCCTGTGCTCTCAAATGTACTCCTTTCGCTTCCATCAAAACACAACAGATGTCCCTGGCACATCTACACGAGATGCTAAAGGCACAGTAGACCGATTCAACTGAGCATGAGCACGGCCGGCAAAAACCATGCTAATGCACAGTAGAATTAGTCTACTGCACATTCGTGGCACAAAAACCCATGTGCCAGTGCCACTGTGCAGTACTGCTGATTACGGAGCATTAAGTTAGTACCTGCAATTACAGATACTAAATTTAATACATCCACTAACCAATAGTCTCTGGGTCTTACACAGGATGCAGCAATCACATACCGGGTCTTGCATGGGATGCAGCAATCACAAAGGGAGCTGGTTCTTTTGACTTGGACATCAGCTTTGTCCCCCTGATCCCGCTGAACTACTTTTTTAGCTTGATATGGCACAAATCTACGCTACTCTACTACACTGTAGATATAATACATGCCTGTCTGCTTATAGCCCTAGGGGACACAGCAAGCTTCTTCAAACACGTACCTGTTCACAGAATATTGCCGTCCCATTTGCTGTACGCGAGCCATGCCCGTCAGGTGATCGTCCTTCTCCCCTGCTACCTCTGTGCCACTTCTGTGCAGCTGTTTCTTTCACCAAGAACAGCCACCCAGCCCTACACACCCTTGACTGATCTGCCCAGCCACTGATCTTTCAAGTTACTGTTAAAATACTCTTAACAGAAAAGCTATAAAACCTCAGCCTTTCCTTCTAAGTTATTACCATTCATAAAACATCAGAAACACAGTATGGCCTTTGAATGAATAAGGCATGGCTCCTACCTCGAAGAACTTAACATCTGGGCCCAGAGCGCAGTGAAGGATGATCAACCAAAGTGTGGAATTGGGCAGAAAGGAGGACAGAGGTTTTAACCAAGGAACTCTGTCTTGTCTGGGGTTTGTGTTTTCCATACGCTACTGCTTTTGGTTGGCTGTGCCTGGTTCCTCATAAGTGGGGATCCTGGTTTTTTCTGATTTAAAAAAAAAAAAAAAAAAAATCCCCAATTTTGGGTTTAAAAAAGTAAACCCAAATCCACATTATTCTGCGATTTAAATTAAACAACACTAATATACAGATGTATATATAGTGGTGGTTCATTTTAATCACGGAAAAATGTGGATTTGGGGTTACTTTTTTTTAAACCAAAAATTGTGGATTTTTTTTTTTTTTTTTTAAATCAGAGAAGACCAGCATCCCTGATCATAAGTGGGCATGTCTACACGTTCATTAATCAGTGGAATAGGTATGTCGTCATGTTCGTCTATTTTCTTATGACTTATTTGCTCCATTGATCCAAGATGTAAACATCATTTCCTATCCAGGGCCCTGGGCCAGGTTTTTTTTTTCAATTAAGTTAAAATGTTAATGGTATTATAGCACCTAATCATCTTGCTTACCATTTTATTAGGAAGCTCTCAATATTCGTTTTCCTTGGAGACCTAAATCACAGGATCATGTGTTTATACAAGAATCTAAACTTTCCTTGAAAACAGCTACTGTGCTGCATGGTTGGGGAAGGACTCCACAATGGTAACCTCGAAAAGGTTCAATACATCAGAAGTGCACGCGCACACACACTTCTGATGTGCTGAACCTTTTCCAGGTCACCATTGTTGAGTCCTTCTCCAACCATGTGGCACAGAAGCTATTTTCAAGGAATATATATATATATATATATATATATAGGTATGTATGTACGCTTTGAACCAGCAGTACTACATTTGGGTGTGTGTGGGGCTGATATCTGGGAGGAAAAAACCTTTGCGTTTCCAATAGGGTTTCACTTTTAGAGCATCTCAAATGGGTAGTAATACTCCTTGAAATTTTACCATCTTATTCTCAAAAACTTGAGATGCGACCACCCAGCCCACCCATGCAACGAAGGAAAACTATGAATCTATGAACTTATCGTGTCCAGTATGTTTCGGGTTGCTAGGAAGAGTCAGATTTATAGTTAAGTTGCCTTACGGGGTAATAATCTCATTTTCCAGGCTTCATGCTTGCTCAGCTGCCCTCGTGATTTTCCTCCTATACACCGTCATCATCTATACCGGTGGAGGCCAACATTTTTGGCAAGCATGCCACAAACTCAAGCCCTACACCCTCTTTAAGTGTCACTCGGATCTCCCTTCCTCTGCCCCATCTGCTTCTCTACTTTCTGCTCCCTGCCTTTTCGGCTGCTAGGGGGCCTGCCCCATGCCACACAGGCTACCTGTGCCACTTGCGGCATGGTTGGACACCCCTGGTCTGCACAGGGCATACCTGGAAGATCGGAACGTAAAGACACTTGAGGATGTAGTGCAAGAAGTTCTCAGCCTCCAAGATCCGACTCCAATCGTGCTCAATCATTTGCTGCTGCAGAGGTTAGCAACCTACGGCCCTGAGGCCAAATCCAACCCAGAGAGCCATTGGGATCTGCCCCAAAATGGAGGGGCTTTGGCAGTGGCAGGCTTGACCCACACTGCAGGAGGGTGGTGGGGAGCTTCACCCATGGTGTGCATTGGCCTGCTGATGGGAAGAGACAGAGGCAGCTAGGTCCTAGTATCAGCCCACAGTCTACTTTCACACTTCCCTTTGCTTCTTGCCTTTTCGTCTCTCTATACGCATTAGTAATTCATCTATCTGTACTTCTGCCTCAAGCCATTTTACTTTCAGTCTCCAAACTGACTATTATAGGATTGTGAATCTGTATCCCAATTTTTATGTGGGTCTTTCAAACTTGCTTGTTAGGGAATACTATGGGGAAACTGGAATGTTTTTTCAGAAAAACATGACTTCTTTCTTACTCAATTGCTTTGGATTTGACAGGGACAATGGCAAATTCATCTCTTTTTTAAAGTGGTTAATTAAAAAGGAAGAGAAAGACAACAGATTCTGTCATGACTCTCTTTAAAAAACACGTCCAAATAATTTTTCCGAATTTTTAAAGGAAAGGGTTTCTCCTGCTCTGTTGATGCTTATACATGTCTATCCAGCATAAGAAAAACTGATAACGGGATGCACAGACAAAGTTAACTATACACACACTACTGCTAAAAAGGAAAGAACAAAAAATACAAACTAGACCAACCAGAGAGTTCTTGCTCCTGCTTTTTGCCACACTAGTTTTTGATGTTACTAAACATTTTTCACCGCTGTTGAAAAGTGACTGCATCCTTTAAGCCTGCTATTCAGAACAGTGTATGTGATGCAAATATAAAGAGTCACTTCTTTCTCAGAGTTTCTGCACACCGTATTGTATGCTTTAACGGGCTTTGACAAGGACACGTCATTTCAACTAGCAAGAATAAAACAAGACTTCCATCCTGACTCCAAGAACGCCCGATACCGATGTGACGCTGCCTCTGCCTGAAGAAGGGTGTTTGCACACGAAAGCTTGCAAAGAGAAAGCTTGCAAGGAAGAATTTTTCCAACCATTTTAGTTGGTCTAATAAAAGATATCAGATTTACCCAAAGAACCTCGTCTGCCTGTGTCCTGAGACCAACATGGCTGCAACCAGCAGCTTTGACACCCATTTGAGACACTTATTAACTCTATTGGTCTCTGCTACCTCTGATCAGCTCCAAACATTGCTCACTTCTGCATAAGTGTTATGCCTTACTTCCTGCTTAGAGCTTCACCCACTCTGCTTCACTTCCCAAACTAGCCCGCCAGTTGTCATGCCAGGTCCTTCAATCTCCAGCAGTACATCTGCTCTCAAGAGTAGGAGCCATGTCATCTCCAAAGAAGTGCCTTTACAATGTCATACACATGGGAGCTTAAAAAGACAATTCAGGTTATCCCAGTAAGGCTCAGGTGCTACAAGAAAGGCTAAGATTCCACATGAAACTAAAGGTTCTTCTTCAAATTGATTTAATGTTTCTTATGGATTTCTTTAATTGATGTTTCTTTAATTGATTTCTTATGCATATATTCCACATGAAATACCTGGGACATACTTTTGTCCATTTCTTGTCATTCAAGGAATATTTTCCCCTTCCTGATATGGCCGTGTTGGCCGATTCACCAGAAGGAATCTACTAGGATTCACGTGGAACGGAGGCAGCACATTTCAGTACTTTGCCACAATTCCCAACCCCTACATAAACCCACTTCTTTCACAGGACAGTCCTAATTGCAACGGAATAAAGAAAGTGTGCATGTACTCTCGTTTAATTTCGCTGGAGGCGAAGGAAGGAGCTAGAGGCCCGGGAGAAAGACCATGTGCTGGAGTTGTTAGAATGACTTCTGCATGCCTTGCAACCAGCCACTCCTAGCCGTGGGGTTGAGGAGCAGGAGGCAACCTCAAAAGATCTCAGCTCAGTTTCTAGCTCAGGCTTCCTGGGTGATTCTGGGTAAGTCAAACTCTCCTCCTCAGGGCTGAAAATGGGAACATATTTCTTTTCTCCTGCCCCTAGTCTCATCTATGTAGTCGTTACAGTCCTCTGGGTAGGGAGCATCTACCACATGTAGGAATGGTACCCCTGGACTGACGGCATCACACAAAACTCCAAACTCCCTTTGGACTGTTAACACCCACAATTACTGCAAATGAGGGGAAAAGAACTATTATTTCTTCAGTTTGGTTTGGTTTGCTTCTTCAAAGCACGGATCATGTCACTGTTTTCCCCAATGCGACCACCCAGCTCCTCCGCTTACCTGGGTGTTTCAAAGTCTATTCAAATGGGATAAACTTATTTTTATCAAGTGGCAGAAGTTTACATAGGGGCTCAGGAGCAGGTGCAGTCGTCAGAACTACTTGATAGTCATTTCAGAAAACCTGATTTCAGCTGGCAGAACCTCTATCTTCTCATTTTAAAGTTTTGCTTCTCTGTAATGTGGAGATACTGATTACCTATACTGCAGGGTATTTAGCAGGATTACTTAACGTTTAGAAAGAACCTTAAAAGCTGAAAAAGCGCTATAAAATAGCAAACAATACAGGAAGAGCAGCACATCGCTGATCTCCCTTATGCTGATAAAGCTGATTTGTGGATTAGCTGTGTAGGGGAAATGAGCCAAGTAAACGCTCCCAAGGAAAAGGATCATAGCACGGAGCTGCCAGGATGCTTTCTAAAGCTGTAACAACATCTTTATTTGAGCAAACAAAAAGCGACGAAGCTTTTTGTGGAGGGAAAAGGGAAAGGAATGGTGATGAGAAAAACACTGCTGCCTTTTTTATATGAGAATATTTACTTGGGTCAGTTTTTGCTGGACAGCTGCTGGATTGCTTCCCATTCTTTTTTCTAAAAGCGCTTTTGAGGAATCTGCCCCTAGAATCTACTTCATTCTACTGCTTTAGCTCCCAGTACTCTGCATTTGTCATGTGCATGCAGGGATCTACTGTATGCTATTGTAATTAGAGCACAATATCTCCTCCAGATGAGTTCATTTTGAGACTTGACCACCTGCAGGAGTATTCCCCATTTCCGATGAAGATGGGTGCAGATTTTCGTACCACTAGAATAACTCATTCCCATGAAGTCCTGGAAGATTACCAGGTGAACCAATGTGTATTTGATACACGTGCAAACTGCTCTTGGGAAGTTATCTTGTCAAATGCAGCTGCAACAATGACTGACATGGACAATAAAAGACTCATTCTCCAGTCCGTTACTAATATAGCCACGTAACTTTTTGTCAGCCAGTTAAGGACCTTCCTTCCTTTCCTGGATATTTTCAAAAATCAGATGCATTCTTTTTCTTTTGGCAACTTTTACCTTGAGAAGCTTTAAAGCATGCAACCGCCCTCTGCTAGATCAGCAATGCTCTCCTCAAAGGAGAGGGGGATACAAGAGCACTTGCCTGTCATCTGGCCTCTTGGTTCCTCGCTCATATGCTGAAGATGGCGGGGACAGTGAATCTCTCCGTTTCTTTTTCTCTTTACTCTGGCTCTGCCTCTCTGGGTCTCGTTCTCTGCTCAGGTTTGGATTCTTGGGCGTAGCAGTTTGGTCCCTCTGACCTACTGCATCTCTCCCGCGATCTGCTGTTAAGGAAGACAGGTAAAAATATAGATACAGAAATCTGCTATATTTGAATATATATTTTCCCTTTTGCTGCTTTCAGTATGCAGGTTTTTGGTGTCAGTTTAATGAATTCCCATTCCAACAAATGTAACACAGGATGCCCCATATCAAAAATCAGAACTATGCTATTGTTATGATGGAGATGAAACTTTTGTTTTAACACCCCCCCCTCAACACACACTTTTGTTTTTTTATATAGCTACTTCATCCTCTCCTGAAGTACTACCCAATAAATTAAAGGCCATTATGCTTTCATTTTTCCTCCTCTCCAAACAGAATTTTAAGAAAAATGGTTTCATCAAAATGACAAATCTTAACACAAAAGTTAGAGACATTTTTGCCCCTGAAAGGCTCGAATTTGATATAAAACCTACCAACATGCATCGTGCTCCACATGGCACGTGGATTTTGCCAGGCTTGACTGGCATGTGGCCACAAATTCTAGATGTTTTTATGTAGGGGAAAAGTGCACAGCACGCGTGGTAAAGTTGTGTGGCAATTATCTCATTTTACCGCCATGTATTCTGTATGGCTGACAAAGTCCATTTTGCTGAGGTTGCCTTTGATATCAATCAGCAGGGATATGTTTTGGCACTGTCCACTCTTTCATATACAATTGGAATATAACTACTAGCAAAGAAACCTTTTACCAAGCGATGGGTACCGATCAGTTGGACATGCTGACATGACAACAGAAATCCTTCAACATTTCGCCCTCTATCCATCGCTCCTACAGTGCTTTTCGTGATGGATTTAGACACATGGGGCTCACAGTGGTGACATGTTGCTGTAGATATAAAGGCACTGTCACATGAATCATCAGAGGCCTGTACTGTGACGGGTCCTAATATTTTGCATTGTATCTGTGCTTCTTGAAAAACAGGACTCAGAAGCATTGGCAGGCTGTCTACAAATGCTGCCTGTCAAACTGATGAAGCATGTGCTAGTTTTCCAGGAGCAATGCATCTGGCTAGTCGTACCCTCAGCAACCCAGAACATTTTCAAAACCACCAGAGGTTTTTCAAACAAACTAAAGATAAAGATGTGCTGCCGCATCCTAGTTCCAAGTCTTTGTTAAGGAGAAGAAGGCCGAGAAGGAATCAACCGAGTCAAAATCACAGGGGTAGCAAACGTGATGAACTGCCAACCAAATGGCCAGTGAGGGCTGCAGGTTGTACAGGGCTGAGCTACAGCAAGCTCTACTTATGCATATCAAATGAATGCAAATTCACTTAGGACCGGCATTGAATTATGCAGCTAATTAGATGTCTTTTGCTAACCTTGTAAGAAACATCTGCTATCCGCTCATTGATTAAGTGCATCAACCAATTAAATGCATTAGAACTCTTTAGCCCTACCCTGTATTTCATACTGTACTCCTCTTAAACGGGTAACTGGTGACACCTATATACTATTAACAGCTTTGTAGAAGCAAATGCTTGGTAGATAAGATCTGGGTGACAGAAACCTTGAATATTTGTAACAATGAAGGTTGCCCAGACATTTGAATACAGCCTGCATACTCTGTGAAGGCTTAACCATGCTCCTGCAATATGCTCTATATATTGCAGAAGAATGGTTAAGCCTTCACAGGGCACATAGGGATGTTCTCTAACAGAAAAGCTGCCTTTTTGCATCGCTCCGGCTTTTAGCACAGGCCTTGCAGTCTGAGGAGGCTGTAACATGAACAGCTGCTTGGGAGGATCAGCGGAGCTGCTCTTTTGGCAGTGCTCAAGGAACACCCCATTAGTTTCAAATTTAAGGAAAGGGAAAAGTTCAGGCTTTGAGTCCCAGCAAATGGGCAGTGCAAGGTATATGCAGGCCATACCAGCTCGGCCATGAACTGCAAAGTCACGTAACACTTGAAGTTCTCACTGTAGTGGATTTTGAGACTGCATGCAACTACATATCGAATTCCCCTTCTTTTTGCAATGAAGTGCTAACAGGGCAAACCTACTTTCAATTATGCAGCCACTCTGGCCTGAAGTTACAAATATGCTATTTAGTGAGATCACAGAACCACATAATCAACCCTGTTTCGTGTTTACGCTGAACTCCATTGTACATGGTGGTCCAGTGACCAAAGGACAGAAGAGCAAATGATGTGCAAAACAGAGCTTAGGAACAATGCTCAATTTAACTTCTTTCCCAGGTTATCATAGCGTTAATTTACACACAGGAGCCTATTCACTTTGATGAGCTAAGGAGTGATTAAAATGGTTCAGAAAATATTAGGCAACCCCCAGAGAGCATGAAGCCTGAAACAGAGGACTAGACACAGCAAGGATATGCTGTGTAGGGGTAATGTAAATTATGGAGCTCAGTATCAAGCTCACAAAGAGAAAGCCTCAGAGTTTAAGGAACGGTCTTCTCTCCATGCTGGAAAACCTGTCATACATCTCACTATGAGTCTGTTGACAATGACTGGCTTAGGCATGGGCTCTAGAGGGGGATGCTGGTTTCAAGGGTGAACTACTGGATTGGGATCCAGGAGGGGAGGTTCAATTCTCTGTTTTGCCATAAGGTGGGAAACTTTAGCAAGGAGAGTTAAAGACTCTTGCTGGGAAATGAGGACAATATTATTTCCTTTCACCCACTCTTCATTTAACTTTCCTAATTAAGTATCAAAAATCCCTTTCAAGGCATAACTGTCTCATCCAATAATTACGCACAGTGCCTTGTGTAATGTAACCTGGTGGCCTGCTTGGTACACTGATACGAGGATTGCCTGCACATGTTTTTAGGCTATGCATAAAGCTATATGCTAGACAGTCTTTTCGATAAGCCTTTACTTTTACAGACAGGGAAAATTAATCTATTTCTGTAGGAAGTTAAGAGTTTCAACCAATATATGAAAATGTACCCTTGATTACATACCGCTGTTCTCCTTTTCTGCTTGACTCTTCTTTGGGATTCGATACACCTCCTACAAAACAAGCCAGAAGAACAGTCAGATTTTGCAGCTACACACTGAGATTACAGCTGCTTAAGATGTGGGGTGGGAAGGGTTATCCTGACAAATAATTTAGGGTAAAGTGTAAATAAAAAAGTCACAACTTTGTAAGCAACAGAAGCAGCGTCCAGGCCCATAGGCACTTACACTATTAAACACATCCATTCTGATGTTTCCCATTAATTTTCTCAAACTATCAAGCTTGCTGATTTTATACAACCACACCAAGTGTTACTGTGGCTCTCTAAGAAATTTAAGCATGCCTGCTGTGAAATTAGGTCTGCAGCATCTAAACTTGCTGTCTTTCTTGCACATCATAAATATGTGAGCTTGGAGAGGCTTTAGAAGTCAAAGCATGGCTTTTCTGATTCTGAACAGAGGTTGCTTACAAAATTACATGATGTCCTTCCTGCCTCTTGCTGTATTGTCAGTGATAATGTTCCTAAACTAGGTGAACTACAGCAGATGATGCTGAAACTAGTGTATAATCTTTTCTTTGCAGGAAAGTTGGGGTGTTCAAGAAGAGGGTTTAAAGATCATGGAACTGTCTGTCTATAAATCAGACTGAGCATTGTTAAATCTAATTCCTCTGAGTAAATACTGTTTCAGCCCAACTACACAGTAGGATTTTTTTTAAGCAGAAGTTCAAATGTATAGTGCAAAAGCAAAAGTGCAAGTGCAAATCTTTCATGCTACACAACTGCGGTGCTGTCCTTAGGTTCTGAGGAGATGCAATGACTCCCTTATGCCTTGACCGCTGCTACAAAGCTGGAGGATGTTTCTCAAGAGACCTGCTCCACTTTCTAACTTTTTAGGACTAGAATTTCTCCTTCCTTTTCCAGATTTCCCCAGACTCATTGGGCATTTGAAGAAAAGGAACCAGCTGGGTGCTTCAAGGCTACTATATTCTTTCACTTTAACGCAGTCATGCTTGAACCCAAAGGCAGGGGGAAGATGGAAGAGTTTACACAGGGCGAGACAGGAGGCAGCAACATCGGCCTCTCTATTGCAGACCTGAACTAAGCAGAGATGACACTCTACTATACGTGGCTTCCCTCACATCGGGGAGGAGGCGGAGGGGAATAATAGTGACCAGACAACACACTGCAACAAGGATCTGATGAGAATCCTTTGCATGACAAGCTCACTCCCAAAACACAGATAAGATCACCCTTTGAGAGTCAAGAAAGAATTCCCTGCATCAGGTATCCAGGTTGTAGCCATACTGGTCTAGAGGAAAAAGCAATCAGGACTCACAGTAGACATGATATCTTTTATTAGACCAACGAGATTTTTGCAAAAAAAAAAAAATTTTTTAATTGAAAGCTTTCGGGCACAAACGTCCTTCATCAGGCATTGGAAAAAAGATTGTAAAAGTTCTCCTGGGTAGAAAGGAAAGTTCATATTTCATAGGATTTCACAGAGGAGTCAATAGATGGAAACATCTATTTTTCCATCCATTTCATTCATAGATATAGATCTATAGATGCAGTTCTCTGTGAAATCCTATGAAATATGAACTTTCATTTCTACCCAGGAGAACTTCTGCAATCTTTTCTCCAGTGCCTGATGAAGGGCGTTGGTGCCCAAAAACTTGCAATGAAAGAATTTTTTTTTTGCAAAAATCTGGTCTAATAAAAGATATCATCTCTCCTATGAGTCAAGAAATAATTCAACACTTGTAAGGTTAGCTACCAACACTCGCTCCAGCTTTCTGGACTATCTGATCAGGATAGAGAAGGTCTAGGTAGAAAATGCTGTGTAGCTGGGCAGGCTTCTGCCATAATAAGTCTTACTGCCTCACTTGAAAACTGCAAGCATCTGTGAGAATACAATATTTCAAAAGAGTTTTCCTCATTTATTCTAGGACTATTTGAGGATCTCATCTTCCTCCTGTTTGCGCCTGGTGTAAGAGCAGATTCAACAAGCAAGCTGCCACTGGAGCCTGTCTCTTTTACTAGAGGCATAGGTACAAGAGGGGAAGCTTTCACATGGAAGGAGAATGGAAAAAGCCCACATTTCTGGTTCGTGCTCTTTACGGTGTGCTTCAAATGCCTACTTACAAGGTTTAAATCAAGCTCAGTCTCTTCTCAGTCTTAATCTGCCGAGGAAGAACTTTCTGCTTGCCTGCAGCTGAAGTCAAGACTAAAGACTAATGATGTCAAAACATCTCTGGCTGTTCAAAGAAGGGTGATCCATGAACTAGAGCACTACCTTAGGACTCAGGGGACCAGGGTTCAATTCTCCACCTTCCCAGAGGCATCTTCTTTATAGTCGTGAGAAACCTAAACTCTCTGTGCCTCTGTTCCCACCTATACACCAGGGGACCCTCTGGATCTCCTTGCTGAGGGCGAGTCTTTCCCCAATATGTAGAAACATATTCATGATTATAAGGTGTTTGATACTTCAATAACAAGGGTCAGTAAATGCCCTCAGAGCGAATTGTGGGGTCCTAGGAAAATAGGACTGGAAAGGACCTCATGAGGTCATCTAGTCCAGCCCCCTGCTCAAGGTAAGATCATCCCAGCCAAGTGTCCACCTAACCTGCTTTTGAAAGTTTCCAAGGATGGATATTATACAACTGATCTCAGTAGCCCGTTCCAAAGCTTGACCGCCCCTTGCAATTAAGTCAGGAAGTTCCTCCTCGTCTCCTACCTACATCTCCCCTGCTGCAGCTTGAGGCCATTGCTCCTAGTCCCGTTTCCTAACACAGAGATAAACCCACCTCCATCCACTCTACAAAGTTGACTCTCAAGTATTGGAAGACTGTTATCAAACCCCCTCTCAGTCTTCTCTTCTCCAGGCTAAGTAACCCTAGCTCTATCAGCCTTTCCTTCCAAGTCTCATCTCCCAGGCCCCTCATTATTTTTGTTGCTCTGCACTGGACTCCTTCCATGTTGCTCACATCCTTTGCAAGCGCAATCCTTCGAACTGCAAATGTCACTGCAACTCTCAAGACAGGATTTGATTGCTGCTGCCGCAGAATCTGCACTACCACAGATTACCACTGAAGCGGCACGTCTGACTGTGGGGGCGGCCAATCCATGGCTCGGGAGCTGCACGGTTGTGGCTCCCGAACAGTCAGTTCATGGCAAATTGTTGTTTGAGATCGATAAGGTGCTGGGTGCAGATCACCGACTGTGGGGCAAGCACATGAGATGCCTACTGAGCAACAGACTAGCTGCGCAGTAAAAGTGTGTCTACACACGCGCACCTATTAAGCTGGAGTAAACTTATTTACAAGTACTATCCTGCTGCAGAGTAAAAAAAAAAAAAGCCCTGGAGCAGCATACGTGTAGATACTGTCCTGGCTGGCTGAAGCACAAGGGTGCTTTAGTGCGAGGGCTTCCTGCCGACTAGCCCCACAATGAAGCACCCTCACGCCCCAACTAGCCCCTCGGCAGCACGTTGAGCCAAAGGGAGCAGCCCCAGGCTGGCAGGCTGACCCCGTGTACCCCGTCAGCCAGGGCTGCTCCGCAACGTGCTGTGCTCCCAGATGCATGTGAAGAAACAGCACCCAGGAACGATAAACTCCCGAGTTTACTGCAGCGCCATAATTGCATGTGTAAATGTGCCCTCTGGCTCTTAGCTGGGCCAGGATTTTGGTTTTTGGCTGGAGGAAGTATGGCCTCCTGTAGAGCAGAGCAACAACTTCATATTTGCTTTGTCCCCAACTCCTCACTGCATGCTAAGGTAAGTGCACCTCTCTCTCTCACGGGGGGGTAAAATAACTAACTTATCTCACTTTAACTTTAAAATGTTACCTGAATACTAAATAAAATCCTTGGGGCATAGTCAAATTAAGAAAGTCTCCGTCTATTTATTGCAAGATAACGAAGCTTCAAACTTAACCTAACCTATCTAGCGGATTGTTTAAACGTTCTCACACACATAGGCAGATGAGGCTCTTTGGGTAAATGGGATATCTTTTATTAGACCAATTAATAGTTGGAAAAATTGTTCTTTGCAAGCTTTCATGTACAAACACCCAAAGAGCCTTGTCTGCCTATGTTCCCAGACCAACACAGTTACAACCAATACCCACACACACCCATACCCCTTGCCTGATATGAGCATTTCATCATTTTTTGGAGAGGACACGTATATAATATTATAATATATAATATAAACACATATATAATTTTATTTAGTCCATAAAGGTGCATATCTGCCCTGCCTTCTGACTGATGTCAAACTAACATGACTAACCGTTTCTCTCTACCTAAAACAAAACTTCTTTATCCGCGATCATTCTACCAGATGCCCGATTAGAAAGGGGTTTGCTGCATATGCCAGGGGTGGCCAACCAAGTGGCATGAGCAGCCTGTGTGCAAGGTACATGGCTGAGCAGGGAAGGGACAAGCAGCACAGTGTCAGATAGTGCAGAAAGCTGAGCAGCAGATTAGACAAGGAGCATGGGCAGAGGGCAGAAAGCAGAGCAGCAGCTTGGGCAGGAAAGGGGATTGGAGTGGCACCTGGGGAGGGCTAATTTGCAGCACACCTGCCAAAAAGGCTGGCACTCGCAAAGGCTCTCCCCTGTGGCCGTGTCACTCCAGAGGGCTGAAATCTTGTGAGATTTCAAATTAAGCCTGGCCATTATTTGGGAGGATGAGAGCAATGAGTGCCATAGGAAGCAGATCTGGGATTCCACAGGGTCACACTTTTGAGGCACATGGCAGGGCAGGGCGTCACCTTAGAGCAGTGATCCTCAAGCAAGATGTTGTGGCACCCTGGGGTGCCAAGAGATCCTTTCAAGGGTGCCGCAGGGTGCTCTGGACAACAACAGGAATGTTTGGTGTGCAAACACCTACGTGGGACTCAGTGCAAACCCAGAGATTTCAAATAGGGATCTAGCATCAGGAACCTGTTGTGGTCTTAGTACTTTGCAAAGAAAAGAGCTGCTCTAGTATTTTTCCACAGTCAAAAAAAAACCCACCCAAAAAACCAGAGGGAAAGCTAAGAGCTGGCATTTT